CCCCAAAACCCCAAAACCCCAACCACAAAGACAAAATATTTTGCATAGTATAAGATAAGTTAAGTTTTAAGCAATCAAGCAGGTCTAATTTAAAATTATTGTTCAATTTTCATTTTAAACAAATATAATACACTAGGATTATTAATGGGTCAGAAGATTTCAAAAGTTTGGTAATCTCTTTGGAAAAATAAGGAGCAAGAGTATAGAGTTTTATTTTTGGGGTTAGATGGTGCAGGAAAGACCACTCTACTTTACAAGATACTATAATCAGACTAAACATTTTAAACTATTCCAACTATTGGATTTAATGTCGAAACAATTACGTTTAACAATGTCAAGCTAATTGCTTGGGATTCTGGGTTTAGACCATACACTTAAAATTTTATGTGACATTATTACGAGAATACCAGTGGACTTGTATTTGTTGTTGATAGTTAAGATACTGATAGATTTGATTAATTTGCTGAATATTTTCAAAATTTATTGATTGAAAAAAAATTATAGAATATACCAGTCTTGATATTTGCAAATAAAATGGATTTAGGTGGGAACATGACCCCCTCTGAGATTATTGAGAAACTAGATATTAATCCCTAAATGAAGAGATTTTAATGGATGATTTAAGAATGCTCTGCTGTATAGTATTAGGGCGTTAACGAAGGATTGATATGGTTAACTAATAAAATAGTGAAAAATAGTAAATAAAAATGATAAGCTCTGCTTTTTTCTCATTCTCATTTCTAATTTTTAATCAATCATGGATTATAAATCTATGTTAAAAGCATAATCCTTATTTTAAGCTTTAAGTATTTCAAAATTTTCCAAATTAATAATTTGTCTACTTTTTTGTGTCAAAATCAATGCTTTAGGAATATTCTATCCTTTATTTCCCTTGATAAGATAAATATAAGAGTGCAATGGCAATTAATTTTATTAAAAAAAATACCTTCTTTTAGTATTGTAAATTATGAGTTTATGTCTAGTCATCTCTGAATTCAATGTTATTGCTGCTAATCTGTTTCATTTTAGAACAACTAGTTTAAGCACTGTTTCTTGACATTTAATTACATAATCATTTTGAATAAGTTCATAAAAGAAAACATTATTTTTCTTTTTCAATTTATTAAATGTAATTTAGTCATGTTCACCGAAAGCCAAGGTAATTTTTCATTTCTAATATTTCATTTTTACAATGCAAAAAATTATCTTTTAGATTTAAATTCTAAAAAAACATGATTAACTTCTATCTTGAGTATAAAATATTTAAATCCCACCTTCATTTAGTGCGGCAATTATAAATTACGCATTTGTATATATTATTGATATTATAAATTTTTTTGAATTGAAAATTTATTTTTCAAATAGAACAATCCCTTAATCAAATCTACTTAACATGCTTATAGATTTACCTTAAATCATTAATAATTTGTCTTTATTCATTGCTATTAATGAGTATTCCTCTAAGTTCAGGTAATTAATAGTATTCATTTTCAAATTGAAAATCCATAGTCCATGAACACTATCTTTAAATTCGATAACAATGGAATCTCCAATTGTTTAAATTGCATAGATCTTTTAAAATCTTTATCTCTTCGATTAATGATT